TTGGAAGAATGTTGACAATAAATTGATGCCAATCCCAGCAACAGTCACGGGCCCTCTGGGAAAAAAAAAATTGTCCAAGGATGAGTGGGAGGATAACAGAACTTCATTAAAGAACATTTCATTTCCAAGCTAGAAAGGCTGATGTATAAACAAGGATGCAGAACAAGCTTTTAAAATGGCCAATGCCTTGTCAGCCTTGTTTCAGTCAAACTTGTATATATCATGTTTTTTGCCCACAGTAGCACCCACAAACATTTTACTTAAATAGTAGGGTCACTTGCAGAATGCATCTGTGAGGCACGATCTCTACCACATACTCATTACTGAAAAATAACTGGAAAATTAAACTGACCATTATTATCCATTTGGCACATACCTATTTTTGCTATAGGTTTCTTAAACAAGACGGTAAATACCTCTTTCTAACATTCTCCCCACCCGAGCAATGACCTGGCTTGAATCCAGTCCACCCGATTGCAAAAGGTGCCTGTGAAGTAGAGATTTCCTAACGCAAAAGGTTATAGGAAGAATGTTCCACAGGGCAAGTAAACAGGTGACGTGCCAGAAGACAGAGAATGTGTGGTGAATTTCAGAATACAAGTAGGTCTTTTTATAGCACAGGGTCCTGGTTTCATCAAAGGGACCAAAGATAATATTTCCCAGCTGTGGAATTTTAATGAATAAATTCTGTTCATTTACGCTTCCCACTTTCTTGAAAAGGTATTGGAAAAGTGGACATGTCACTTCTTCGTCAGTTCCAGGGTTTTTTCTTCATTTTAAGAAATGTAAGAACTAAAAAGCATCAGTCTCTTCTGAAATGCTGACAGCAGAGACTTAGCCACAACCAAGAATCAGAGTAGGCTGAGCTTGAAAGTTCAGCTGATAAGTGGCTTTACTACAGCAGGACTGCCGAAAAGTAGCAGAGAATCACTGGAGACCGAGAAGACTCAGAGTCCAGGTTCAAAAGAGACGAGTTACCTTGAATGCTTCCATTATTTTGTTGTATACAACAAACCTAAAATGTTTTCCAAAAGCATTTCAGAAAGACAGTCAAATTTATCAGCCACTATTGTAATGACTGTAGAATCAGAGACATTCTGAGATTTAAAAGACCTGAACTCTTCCAAGTTCATCCACTAGCTTATTGGATGTACTGGGGGCAAGTATTTTGCCTTTTTTCATCTGAAAACCCCACTGTAAAATGGTGACGATACTGGCCTCTTCTCAAGAACGAGACTTTCTTATAGAAACTGACACATAAATGCTAGATGCTATCATTATTGTTATGAATTATTATTATTAATAATATTAATATATTTGAATTCTGTAGATGACAATGCAGAAGATTCTTCTCTTGCTGTTGTTGTTACTCCTTTAAATGACCTGGCATAAACATCAGAAACGTCTGTTTCTACTTTTAACATGACAATAAGTTTGGAAAAGAGAATCTGATCATTGAAAGTTTTGACCTGTAAATTTTAACACGGCATTTATACCAAAGATTCTGACCCAAAAGCAAGACTCTCTCACTTAGGACTGCTGTGGTTGGTCCTGCCCACTTCTCTGCCTCACCTCTTTCTCTGAAGTCTCATCCCTGCTGCAGAAACGGCTCAGCTTCTCTGAGAGAATTACTCAAATGTTGCATGCTGCAGCTCAGCAAACAGGGGAAAACCTGCACTAATTTTATGTGGGCGGATCAGCTTTTGTAAATATTTCTATCTCTTTACGAGCCCTAAAGAAAAGATAGAATGGCTAAAATCCTAATTTGGGCCTCTTAGTTAAATGTGCAAATAGGTGCAAATAATATAACCTGCATATAAGCTTGGCATAAACAAAAGGAATCCAAAGACCTATAACTTGCCTACAGAAAAAAAAAAAAATGGAAATGGACCTTTAGCTTTTTTGACTCAAAAAATGGAATCTCACTATGGATCTAAGTGTTCACATATGAATGAGACTGAATGAATCCATCTGTCATAGTGCACTAATTTAGAACGTGTAATCACGTTACAACAAATACATTGAGTATGGTGATAGGCTAGGACTGGGAGTGATGATCAGACATTAGCAATTCCAGACAAATCACACGAAGCACACATTTTTCCAATCAGCAAAGATAATGCATTCAGCATGATCCACTGAAAAAGGTTACCGCATCAGCAGCTGAGGGATTCTTCCAGTGATCACTGGGGAAAAAGCGGTACATCATTTTGTTCTTATTTATTTGCCACTGTTGATGAAATCTGACAGAATGATTAATTCAATGCTCATGGTATTTTCAACTTTGAAGACACATCAAATGAAACTTGGTTATATACAAATACTCAATGTTTTACACAAGGAAGATAAAATTATACACAAATCTTTTTCTGGGTGGATTATCTGCTTCTGTGCTGGAATCATGCATATCTCTTCCTAAGTGCATTGGTAAGTTGGGAGAAGTCTGAAGCAGAGCAATAAAAATAAGCTTTGGACAGGATGTACTGATGAAAAAGGGAGGAACTGTGACATCAGCTTGCAAATGTCTAGCGGATGGCGATGAATTCTTTAGGGGGTATGTTGGATTAGAATTGAGAATGATAATCAGAGGAAACCAAGTAAATGAACAGTCAGGTTTAATATTAGAAAATACAACCAAAGCAGGAGACGGGTAGTCGATATCATTAAAACCTCCACATTCACTATTGCAGATACCTGCAAATCTCTTACTTGTACTTCCTTATGTTTTGAAGTAGAGACTCAAGGGATCACCACAAAGAGAAAAGTGGTAAGATTATAGTTATGTGCACTACAATCAACTAAGAAATGGCCATCTGAGAAGAAAGACAGGAACTTCATGGATACAGACTTTTTAAAGAGAGTGTTGGCAAACGACTACTGTGCAACAGGACATAAAATATCCTGTATAATCCCCTGAGAGATTGGCTGGATATGACCTAAAGGGAGTTTTCCATCTCTACTGTCTATGATTCACTATATATCATGATCTTCTAACTCCTGGAAAAAAAATGACGGTTCTTTTCCATCCCTGGTTTCAGTTACTATCCTCATAGCCACAACATAATTGGATGCTGAATCTACTTACCAAAATGCTGAGAGGAAGAAAACAATCAGTTTGAAAGACTTACAGGCAAATTCTACTCTCACTTTCACCAATGCAAACTAACAATCATCTTATTTATTTTTTCTAAATTATTCTAAATTAGTTTCTTTGTAACAGACAGTAGAATCTGGCCCTTCATGCTAAAGCCACAGCAGTAAGGCTCCAGCCTTGGGACAAAAGTCCACTGGAATCTGACTTTTGTTCTAGCCCTCCAAGATACAAGAACTGAAATGTAAAGTACTGAAGCACTGACAAATGTTTTTAAAAATAGTAAGACAATTTGCATCAGATGTCTAACTAGAGTAAACGGAAAAAAAAAAAAAAACCTATGTCTACTGGGGTTTTGTAACTGATTAAGAGTCACTGGCTTGGAAAATATATCACTGCTCCCAAGTGAGAGCATAGTAGCAGAAGAAATGGAACCCCTCCATCATACAAATTGCAAAATAAATGGAAGATTATGTCTGATTCACTAGGTAACTTTGATTTTATTTTTAGGGGGAAGATGACAAAGAAATAGCTCTTACCTGCCCTGACCACTTTTGCTATTTAGAAGTCATTTTCCTCACTGGAGAATGGAATAAAATGCTATGGTAGTGCATAATCTGTTTTTGAAGTTTGAAATGTTACCTTCTCTATAGGAAAGCCTGAACTATATGCAGAAGCTAATGTATTTTTAGTCCAGCTTGTTGTCCATTAATCTGATTTGGATATACTGATATACTTTCTTGACTAAACTTAAGGCTTAATTATAATCCTGTGAATAATGCAAAACATTGCATTAATTAAAAATGAAATTTGGAATTTGTCAGTAGCAAGAAAACGTAACTGAATTCAGCCATATGGGACATAGTTAAAATCAGTCTTTGTTTTCAGACACACGTTTATATTAGATCACTACAAACAAATTCTTTGCTCATCTCTTTGTAATTTTTATAGATATAGTGATTGTAAATCCCTACAATTATCTAATCTAGCATCTAGCACAGGCAAGAGAATTTCAAATAGTATTCCTACATCAAACACAAGATTATCTGATTAACATGCCTTTAAGAAATATGCCTATATTAATGATAATGTCTGTTGATGGAGAATCAGTGCAATCCTTAGGCAAGTTTTTCCAAAGGTAACTTAATGGCTGTCACTACTTTGAAACTTTTAATCTATCTTTTTATTTTCATCACAATATAATTAAAATACTGATTTAAAGATGTGCTAAAGGGAACTTTCCCATTATAATGTCAGCTATTTTAACTATCTGCTGTTATTGCTAATACAATATGACTACTTCCACCACTACAGCATGGGCTACAGGATTTAATCAAACTGGCTGCCCATGACTGAACACTTAGTGTGGGCTTCAGATTCAGATTCAGTCACTTATATTCACATGACTAAAATATAAGTGTCTACACGTGAGCTAGGTGTCTCAGTTCCACTATAATTTGTGGAGATCTAGTGAATATAGATCAGGTGAATTTGTGACATGCCTACACTTAGTCAGGTGAACAACTTTTGACTCTATGGACTGCAATGACCAGATCTTAGTTCACAGACACAGACCTACACTTAAATATAAGCGTCTTTGTGAGATGACTCCCCCGTTAGGAGATCAGTTCGATAAAACACGCAGGCATATAACATTTGAGATGCTGTAGACTACTCAAGCCATTTACAGAAGGCTGGCAGATGTGAGAGAGAAGGGAGAACACATGCTTCTGGAGCATCAGTTCAGAAGCCAGGTAGGATGTCTTAGGGCATCTAAAACAGCACTAGACTTCTGAGTGCATAACCCAATCAAGCCCATAATGTCTTAGTTGATACATTCATTCCAAACCAATTTTAATCTTATTAATTGTTTCATTTTTAGTTAAAACCAGAAGAATGCAAAACGTACCTGACAAACATCATAGTGCTCAAATAGCGACAGCAAACCAATATCACTGCGACTTGTGATGCCTTTCAAAATCGTGATATTGTCGTTTCCAGAGTCCAGCTCTATCACATTATTAAAAACATTGGATACAGCTTTGCCAGTCAGAAGCAAGTTCACTAATTCCTGTTTATGATATATTTAAAAAAAAACAAAACAAAACAAAAAAAAACAGTTATACACCTTGCCTGCACCAGGCATCAGTGCACCCTTTATTCAGGACTGATAAGTTAAAGTATGTACCATACCCTTAATTTATGCCGGGGGTTTAAGCTTGACCAGATAAATAAGGGTAACTATACGATCTTTTCAGAAGTTTAGGCTACTCTCAAATTAAAATGAAGAAATATCAGCTCTATTTTCAATAGTCAACTTTAACAAGGCAAGCTGCTAATAATCAATTTGTTCTCATATCCAATTCTCGGCTTTCTCAGACTAGTGATTTTTTTCCAAAGTAAAACATTTTGGTGTCCCTTCTTCTGTACAATGAAAGCTGGAGCATAAATGGTATCTATCAAAAATTTATGCAATTTGTGTGCTTGTGTGTGCATGCAGGTTTTAACAGCTTACTAGAGAAAAACTACCCGTAACAGCGATATGTGTCTACTGGGAAGGCAAGATTTTTTTTGCTTTAGACTGTAATGAAATATGCAAAGTCTTGCGGTCCTCTCTCCTTCCAGCATCCTTCCGCTCTGCTTCCTGTGCCATCTTTCCTGTTTCTCTAGATTGAGAAGTCAATCTGGGAGGACCCATTTTTTGAGAAGGACTGGGGAGGACCCATTTTTTGAAAATGACTGATACGTAACACTGGAAAGCACCATCCCAGTATGTTAACTGGAATTGGGGAAAATAAGAATGGCTTCCAAACTGTTTTTACAAACCAGTGATGTCTTGCGAAACCACTACAACTAGCTGAAAGTTGGACCATTAAGCCCTCTTGCCTCCTCTATATTTTTAATTAAGATTATTAAAGTGTATGCTGACCCACAAGAAAAACCTGTGACTCACTACTCCAAAAGATTTTGGTCTCACTCTGTTTTACTCGCCCAATACATTTTACAGTACTGATCTGTTATTTAGTTGTGATGTATATTTAAGTTTTGAACACAATTATTCCTGGATGAACTTGGTCTCACTCAGTAAGAAAGTCACCCTTATGGCTTCAGGTCAAGTCTCCATCACCTATATACTCACACTCGCTTTACCAGATTGTTGATTCTTTCCTGTCCAACTGAATTAGGGGTGTGTAGCAGGCTAAAGGGTGAGGGTGTGTGCGCATGTGTGTGTGTTTGCATGTGCGCATGTGAGTGCATCTAAAATCCAAGAAACAGAAAGAGACACCAGACATTTCACTTAGCATGGGCAACACAAGGACACTTCAGGGCCAGCTATGATGCAACAGTAAAAAACAATATCTAGAGGCAGACTGTGCTACAGAATATAACTAGTAAATCACTAATAAATAACATATGCCAACAAACATGACGGGAAAAACAAGAAAGTTTCCAGGAAAAAAATAAAACAAATTACCATGCCGTAAGATATGAATAACACTGATATTGCCAGCTTGGATTTGAGGTATGATTATAAAAATAACTGCACTCATTTATAGCCCAATTTTTCTCCTGAAGGAACCCCCAAAGTTCATAGACTCTTACTGATGCTTACAGGATTTCTAAATCTGCTGTGATGTTCCACCACCTTTCTGAGGAATCACTGTGTAATTTCAGTCCAAAAGTCTTGGAGCAACAGTTTAAGAGAAAAAAAATGAAACTTGCCTTTTGCAGCCAAAATGCCAGTGCTACATATTTAATAACTGTAGACCATATTCAGACCACATAGTTTCTGCCCATATCCCAGCTTTGGGGGAATCCATGTCCCAGAATTCTGGGATCTACATTTCACCTATGTGTCCAAGACACAGTGTTTCCAGCCGGCTGGATGTCTCTGCAAACGTAGAGCCAATCAGCAGGAGACGCTTGGTACAGAACATGAGCTGGAATTTAGCCTGTATAAAACTGTGGGCCTAAGTGTCAGATAGCAATTCAGACTGCATGTTTTCAGCAACCACTTCTGTTACATACTCCTATAATCAGTATCTCCAGTTTAAAGAATCAGTTAGCATCAGCTCAGCTAGCTGAGCACCAAACATTAATACAGAAGGATGCTAGACACACAGGCTCTGTCGCCATTCTGAGATGGCAGGGAGGAAAGTCAGTTTTCTACGTCATCTTTATCTCAGCCCTAAAATCAGCTAAATTCAAAAATAATCAAAAGAGACAGTGCACATTTACACATACCCAGACCAGAAAAACAGGCCAAAAAGCAGAGGCTCTGAAAGCAAAGACAAAAATCTGTCAAAATACATGGGAAACGAAACAACGGGTGAAGATGCTTGACACTACGGGAAAAGAGGAAAAATATGAGGACCTTAAAAGAAAAAATGTCATCTCTTCCCACAGATCAATTCCTAGTTCTGCCTGCAGAGGCCTACAGTGACTTCAAGGCTCCACACTTACGTACCTGAGTACAATACCCATGGCTGCCGATCATTCGGTTTGTATGCACATCGAAATCATTGCGCACCCTGAAAAGGAGCAGAGAATATTTAATCACAACTGCATCTTTTCACTAGACTTCCTGTTTCTGAGAAAAAAAAAAAAAAGGCTTTCTTGTAAAAAGCCTGTTTCTCTAGCATGAATTAATGTCATATTTAACATTGTTTATGCTCTAAGTCTTATGCGCTATGTGCTCTAGTTTTTGGAATTCTTTCAAGTTCAATTTTTGCAGGATAAAAAAAATTATCTCAATATGAAAAGCTGCT